TACTCACTGTTATAAAAATACAAGAATGTGGGCTCTTGCCTGTACACAAGATTGGTTATTCTATAATGGACCTTGGAGCCCACAAAAATGGCAAAATACAGTAATTGTGTATTTAACACACGTGTGCTCTAAGAATGAATAAATATTAATAAATAAATATATTTATTTGTGCCATCAACAACCTGATTGTGTGTAACACTTGACATGTACAATCAATCAAAAGCTTTTGTTGTTTCGTTCAGTCCAGCACTGTGAACACATCAACTACCTACAGTATATACCTTAACTTCTGTTGTCTCCATCTTCTGTTGCCTTTGATTTTTCATACTATCAGAGTCCTTCCTTACGTTATATTTTATGTTCCCAAAATTAGGTAGAAATTACAAATATTTATAATCTTGAACTGGGCCATTTTTACCTAGGTTTGACAACCCAAAATGTATTTTTTAGCGGACAGCTACCCCAAATTCAGTTAAAATCATTAGAGATACATAACAGTACTAAAATACCCATAATTCTAAATAGTATGGTTTTATTTTTGGTAGAAGCCCTATATAAGTAACAGTTTAGTAGTGAGATTACGGTATCTAGTTATTAAAGATCCTAAGGGCAATTCGCCCGGCATTTACCCAACATTCTTTAGTGAACATTAACCCTATGTATTAAGCCAAATTAGCAGAAATTCATCCAAATTTCAAACATTGTGGGCAGGCTGGTGGTGCTTTGGAAAGGGGACCCCCATTTTTGGGGTACAGCCTCTCTCAAAGCACCCCCTTAGTGCTGAAGGACATGCAACTTGGTATCTGCATAGCAAGAGGCCGGCATGCTCACCACTCCCTTGCTATAGTAATACCAACTGGTATGTCTGAGGTTGGGCTTGGCTAGTTCTGGGACGGGGCACACTTTGTTTTGTGTCTAAATGTTTTTTTAACATTTCAAAAGAAGGATCAAAGTACAAAGACAAAGAAAGTACAATGGGCACAACAGTGGGCACAAGTACAGTCCATAAAATATATCTAAACCACTCTACCCAATTCAGTGCTGTACCCTGAATGAGCATGGGGTAAAAGGAAGTAACCACTGGGTCAGCCTTGGTGAGGTGAAAAAGTATTGTAGGGTGGATACATTTGTTGTACCGGAAAAAGAGGTGTAGCAAAGTATATAAAAAAGTAGGAAGGTAGAGTATGAAGAGGGAAGGCAGGAAGAGAGCAGGGGAGTTGGTGGGATGAAAGGTGACCACTGGCCATTAGTCAATGCTATATTAGAAGGTTCCTAAATTGAGCAGAGCCCATGAAAGTGATCCGTATTTACATATTTCAAATAAAAATATCCCTCCTAGTATGAAAAATGTGTATAAACATAGTTTCAGCTCCATATCATAAAGAACTTCTGTTGGCAAATTCACATGCAGCCTAAAACCATTTGTTTATATCTACTGTACAAGTGACATTTAATGACTACTCTGTTTCCCCGAAAATAAGACCTACCCCGAAAATAAGACCTAGTACTATTTTTGGGAATTGCTAAAATATAAGACCTACCCCGAAAATAAGACCTAGTTGTGACCATTCCCAGGGCCGGTGGTGGCATAAGGGGGAACTTGAAGAGCCGCGGGAGAGAATCAGCGGTGACAATGAAGCCAGCGTAAGAGGAATGGAGGCGGCAGCGGAGGGAGCAGAGCTGCACAAGCCGATGCTTCCTCTATAGCGCCGCCTCCTGTCACAGGCGGAGTGACACCAAATGCACTCTGCCTGTGAGGAATCGATAGTGAAAGTACGCTTCGCTCATTCTGGCCAGCGATGGGTTGCCAAATTGCTCTTGGAAAGGCCCTGATTGCCCTGATCACCCTATTCTTAACTTTGCCATTTTGGATTATTTAATTTGAATTTCCGTTAACTTTGGATTACTACTTAAAGCCGTCAAAGTCACGAAAAGGTTTGCTGGGCACATTTCCCCAGAAAATGCATAAAAAATAGACTTCTGTATGTTAAAGGAAGCCTGTTATGAGAAATATATGGAGGTTGTCAGTACCAACCTTTTGAAAATACTAGTTGCCTGGCAATCTAAATGATCAAATGGTTACAGTACTTTCACTGAGTCACTGACCTGGAACAAGCATGCAGTGACTTCAGTCAGTTGCTGCATGTTTGTTCTAAGTCAGCGATTTAAAGTATTGAACTAGCATGTTTACCAGTTAACAAGCATTTTCAGATTAAGGTCAGCAATGGCAGACAGAGAAGTTGTACTTCAAGCCAAATTGTTTTCGATAGACTGAGAAAGGATTATTAGTGCTGCCAGGTTTTCGTTTTTCCAAAAAGGTCTGAGGATATTGACTGACTCATGTGACCTCTGATGTTTATGGTTCTAGGTGACAGCATCCTTCCAATACACTGACCTACCGTAAAAGGCCCATCATGGTTATGGCATGGGGAGAAAACTAGAGCAGCAGCTATAAAGAGGAGGAGGTGGTTTTTAATGAAGCTCATGGAATCTGCATTGTCAGCTGGAACCATAAACATCAGAGGCAGCACAGGTGGTTTAGGATCCTCAGCCCTGATGAAGGGGAAGTGTCTAAAACATGTTGGTTCTCTTGTTTCACTCTAATGTGGATTATTTTAAAGTTACGCATTGCTTCTTTCACATTTTTTGACTTCATTCAGGACCTCCAATTGGGACACTGCGCCACTTGTGAGCAGCCTCACTTAAGCTTATTTGATCAAACAAGTCACTTGCAATTCTGGATAATAGCAACAAGAGATCTAGCACTTCCTATATATGTTATCTAAAATGTTTTCATTTGTGCTTATAATCCCACTGGGGAAAGTTCTCCTTAGTTACTGTCCTGATGACCTCCATTACTGGGACAGGAAGTAAGGGAACCAGGAAAATTGTATTTCATACTTACCGCAATTTTCCTTTCCTGACTAACTCCATGGCAGCACACAAATGGGATGGCCCCGCCTCCCTACCAATCTGATAGGACGTTTAACTCATAAATCTTAGCACCCCCCAGTCCTCAGCGTTACATTACTAGCACCTCCGACCGGGCGGGCACATTTGTGCTGCCATGGAGCTAGTCAGGAAAGGAAAATTGCGGTAAGTATGAAATACAATTTTGATTGGCATGACCTGGCAAATATACGGCGGACAACAGGGTCAGATTCTCCTGTGCCCAGAGCATGATCGGCGAAACTTCCTGCAGGAGCGTGAAGCTGCGGGTTCCGCCCTGTCTCCTGACATACGCCACTGCAGTGGTATTGTCCATCCTGAGCCTGACAGCGCAGCCCTTGAGTAAGGTTTTGAATGCTAGGAGAGCCTGGAAGGCCGCCCTGAGCTCCAGAATGTTGGACACCATTCCTTTGGCGTGGAATGCCCACCTCCCATGTGCCGTCTGATTCAGGCATACTGCTCCCCAACCCTGTTCATCTGGGCAACTCCTGCCGCCTCGGGGACCAGCAGCGAGGCTCCCCCATCATGGCCCTTTAGGCGAACCTGGGGGACTACACCCGACCGTGCGGCCCAGGGTGGACGGTCAGAGGCTTTACCTCCGCCAGGTAGGCAACTCCCCACCTCCATCAGTAGTAGGAGGAGGAAAAAAGAGGAACGCTGAGGACTGGGGGGTGCTAAGATTTATGAGTTAAACGTCCTATCAGATTGGTAGGGAGGCGGGGCCATCCCATTTGTGTGCTGCCATGGAGCTGTCAGGGAAAAGTCTTTCCAGACATATATACAAAACCCGATAGAAATTTTAAGTATTCCCAATTTAATAACTATTGTTGTCTGTGCTTCACTTCCCATCCCAGAGACATTTGATGTGAGGGAAATATACCCATTGGGAATATTACGAATATCACCAGCACTTCATGATGGCTCACAAAAAAGCTTTTATTTCTTCATGAATGACAAAGAGATGTTTCAAAGTCACAAATGGATGCCTTTATTACAGCAATAGTGAGCAATTTCCCAAAGCAGCCATAAAAATGTGACAGAGGTTCTAACCCCTTCCACTCTCACCAAAATTTTCACTGAAGTTACATAGTTGTTAAGGTTGAATAAAAACACAGGTCCATCTAGATCTGTTTTAACATATAACTGCTATATGTGATAGGTACAATGCCTCACTAGGTTGGTTTTGCACAGAGCTGTGTCATATACACTAAACGGGATGCTAGAACCAAATACATTTGCAGTTGTGATCATCTGATGCTCAAATGCAGGGAAACAATAACTTTGTTTGGGGTATTTATTTTTTAAAGACTTTATGGACTGTCTTAATTTATATGCAATTTTTGCAGACTGTCAATTTGCTGGATAGCTGACAAACCTGTTTTCACCATATTTCAACACTGGTGAAAATAATCCAGAAAAATCTATTTTTGTAGAAACAGTTTGAAAAGTAATAACATTTTTAGCTCTGTTTGTTGTTCAGAAAAATTACCAAGAATCTCTGCTACCCAATCCTGGCATGATCACATATTTTTATTGAGGGAAGAACGAGAATGGAACTTTCCTCAAAGTGCCATAATTTGTTTCTCTGAATTTGTAATGTTTTGCCAATTTCTTTTACCTTTTTTCTAGTCAACCTGCCAATTTCTTTTTCTTAAACTTCACTTTGACATAGTAACAAACTGGAAGAAAACCAGGCACAATTTACAGGCAACGTTCACACTGACTGAGCGTTGTCCTTGCACACCAAAGGACTCACAGAGGTTTATTCAACATTGTAACACCACTTTTTCAAGTTTAATATTTATTAACGAAAGGTTTAAATGTAGTTTTACATAGAACCAACTGAATACTTGAATCTACCCTGACATCAGCTGTATGTAATCCTTTGCACAGTAGCATTTACGCTGGTAGAGGGAGGGTCAGCACTCTAAACAAATCATGGTTCTGAGGCAG